TATTTTTACTTTTGAAATATAATTATATTTTTTTTGTATAAATCTACATACTGCTCTTATAATATTATTCTTTCTTTATTTAATTTAAGTTCATAAGTATATAAAGATACTTATTTATAAAATAATTTACTATTTTGGTTTTTTTTTTGTTATTAGATGTTTATTTGATAAAATTATAAGTTTAAAACAAGTTTTGTGTGAAAATAAATAGTGTTTAGACAGTTTTTTTTAAAATATTACTAATAAAATAATATATAATATACTAAATAATTAATATTTATATCTTATGACTATTAGTAAAAAGAAAAATTATTTTAAATAATAAAATTTATTATCAGAATTTAAATTAGCTATTGATTAAAAAAAATTTGTTTATTGATTTATATTTTTTATAGTTTTGAATTCATAAAACTAAATATAAAGATTTTTTAATTAAATATAAAAAAATAAAAATTAATAATTGAACATTTACAAAAAGGTAATTTAATTTTAGTTTTTTTTTATAAATAAAAATAATATGTAAGATTTATTCTAAAGATAATGTAAATTAAATTTTTTAATAAATTTTTCCTTTTCTTAAACTTAAAAGACTAGTATTAGAGATTGAATAATTATATTTATCAGTTGATTTATGTTCTCTTTAGCAGATAACTATTTGTATTTAAAAGAATATAATTAATTAAACTTGAATATATTACTTCAAAAATCAATTTTCATCCTATAATAATAATTTTTTCTTACTCTTAAATTTGTGTTATAATTATGGATAGTATAATAATTGCAAAAAAATAATGAAACTGTCAAAAATTTTATTTATATAATAAATTTAATTATTTTATTATATATATTTCTTAAATTTATTATAATTGTTATTTTCATTTTATTTATTATTTATATATATTTATTATATTAATTTTAAATAAAAAAATTAATTATTTAAAAATTTTGTATATAAACTCCAAAAATCAGATAAATAAGTCTTAAAAAAAATTTTTTATAATAATTTTTTTTATAAAAAATATTATTGAAGTGAGAGTAATCGTTATAATAATATTCCTTAATTTAAATGTATGTTTCAAGATTATTATCAAAATTGCAAATTATTTTATAAATTGAAAACTTTATATTTTTCTATTACTGATAATTTCAAGACTAATAATAGTATAGCTCCTATGGAACCCAACATTTTCATTTTAAATTTTGAATTACCTTTTAAATAATTTTTTATTATTTTCAATTTCATTTATTTTCGATTCGGCAAAACATCCAAATGCCTGAAGTCGCGAGAGTTCAAAATCCGTAGTATTTTTTTTTTATATATTTGATTTTAAATTGTATAATTTTTGCCTAATAATCTTATATTTGCAGGAGTGCTGGATATGGATAAATAAATCTCTTGAAGTAAAATTTATATTAAGCAAATAATATAGTTGATGACAATGCAAGCAATGCAGCATGAGTATCGGAAGAAAGATATAATGTTATACCTTGACGTACTTATTGCAATTTCAATATTATTATTAGCAAAGTTATTATTTTTTTGGAATGTTTGAATTTATTTTTTTTTTTAAAAAAGAAATCTTTTTTATATAAATTATCTTTTTAACTTTTTGCATTATTAAAAATATCAATAAATAAAATTATTTATTACAAAAAAAAATCAAATTATATCAATAGTATGTGTTGAATATCCATTTTTTTGTAAAAAATATAACAAAATTTGGTAGTATGATCATGCAAACACACACAACAATTACAAGAATATCTATGAGGGAATTCCACCTATCAAAATCCCTCATCTCGTTGAGCAAATTAATGTGGTCTTCTCGCAATTATACCACCATCATCATTTCGACGGGGTGTGGCTCTCACCGTGGTGGTTCTTCGTCGTCGATACCTTGGATATCTTGGATTTTAACTGTGATAAAAAAAAAATTTTTTTAGTTTAGTATATGCAAAATTAAAATAAATTACAGTTATAATCTTTTAACATACGTTTAATGTTCGGAAGGACAATACTACAAACCCACACAACAACCACGAGAATATTAATGAAGGAATTCCATCTATCAAATTCCTTCATTTCGTCGGGCAAATTTTCATGCTCTCGCGTAATTGTCTCATATTTATACCACCACCACCATTTCGACGGGGTGGGTGTATGTTCTTCGCCTTCGAGCGGCAGGAGCAGGATCGGCCGGTGGAGGTGGAAGTTGAGGGGGTGGGAAAAAATATTAATAACTTGTTCGCAGTTTAAGTTTTGTTGATTCATTTTTAAAGTTTCAGTTGGAACCGGCCAAAAATTCTTCTAAAATATTTGTTAACCGGTTAAAAATTAACCGGTTCCAACCTCTAGTCCTTTTCAAGTTTCAGGAACTGACAAATCGTTTTTGATTGTCCATCTAAAATAACAAAAAATAAATGTAGGGTTTAACAACTGGGACGATTTTATTAAAAATTTCAAGGCTGCAAAACAAACTTTTAGTACATACGTGTTATTGGAGAAGAACGTGCGATTATATAAAGATAAAAATCTTTTGATTTCTTTTATAAATTCCTTTAGCTGTTAAGGGGAGTAATCCATAAACGTAAAAGAAGTAGCGATAAAAGGTTTGTAAACTTCTAAAAGTATATTGCCGTTTCTTGAGCGAATAAATAAAGAGAGAAAGGTTTGTTGTTTCTTTGGGCGAAAAAGTAAAGGGAGAAATGGTTTGGGTGCAACTCGAGTGTGGGGGGGCACCGTTTATATGTAAATCAATAACAAATCATTACGTCATATCGGCAACATCGTGACATAATCGAAACCAATAAAAACAGGGTTAATATATCATCATCATATAAAAATTACTATTAAAGATTTTTCATGTATTTCACGTGCTTTTTCAGTAACATGAAAGACTAAGCAAATACAACAATAACACCTCGCTTTATTGAGAAAAATTTTTTTCCTAAAGAGTTGTGTCTGAAAGAATTACTTTATAATTTTATCAAAGCAAATGAATTTTATTTGGGAAAAACGCGCTGTTATATGAAAATGACTATGATTTCATTTAGAATTTGGAACATAGGGGATGTTTAATATAAAAAATTCTTGAATTTTGATTTAATTAGTTGAACCGGGTTACTCTGCTAATGTGGCGCAGCTGTCAATTATCTGACTGACTCTACAATAACAATTCGTGTCGCTTTGATAAGCACTTTGTGA